TGGCCGGGGAGCTGCCGGGCCGGAGCGAGGCCGAGGTGACGGGATCCCGGAAGGGAGAAGGCTGGACGCGGACCTGAGATGTGTCCGGGGAGAGGGGGCACCGCGAGTAGGACTAGTGGCGTGACGTGGGCAGGACCAGCGCGAGCCTGGGGGCGGGGCGGAGGCAAAATCGAGGGGCGGGACGCACTGCGAGTGGACTGAACGGAGACCCAGACTGGGCGCACGTGGCGCACTGTGCAGCGGCGCTAGGCGGGAATGAGGTTGAAATAAGAATCAGGAAATGGGGTGCAGCGGACGAAACGGAGGTGAATAGGGTAGGACTGCAGGGAGGAGCCAGATGGGCCTGGACCTTACATTTTTATGAGGTCACCCTTGGGTCTGGGCCCCAGACCCCAGGCAGAGTCGCTGTAACCCTTAACGTTGGGCTTTGGCCTCTCCACCCAAGCCTTGGGTTTGTAGAAAGCCCATTTGGTCTCCTTTCTCTTCCCCAGATTCGGGATTTCCTCCAGCAGCTCAAGAACCGTGTGGCCCGGGAAGCCATTCAGAAGGTGCATCCAGGTGGCCTAAAGGGTCAAAGGCGTCGGGAAACACAGCCCCCAGCTCCCATCGAGGTGAGGCAGGGCCAGGCTCCCTGGAAGATGGGTGGGAGTTGGGAGGATAACTTGGTCAGAGGATCCTCAGGAAGGGGGGGACTCCTAAGAGTTGATCCCTAGGCTGACCAGGTACTTTCTCGTTGCCCTACCCAGGTGTGGATGGATCTGGCTAAGAAGATAACAGGCCCACTGGAGGAAGCTCTGACTGTGGCTTTCTCACAGGTACAACCATCCCCTAGGGAGGCCAAGGGTGTCCCTAGGGACAAGGTCATACACACACACACACAAGAGTGTAAGTAAGGTATGGATGGATCTGTGTCCTGGGCCCTTCCTCTTGCTAGCTCTGGCCAATCACTGGACACCTTGAGCCTCAGTACCCCTCCTCTGAGGCCATCTTCTGTATGTGACACCTTCCTTGGGTGAGTGGGTGGAGAGCTCAGCACAGTTAGCAGGGCGGGGGTGGTGACTGAAGGGAGGACTTATGCTTTTCCCTTCCTGATCTGTCTGCCTGTCAGGCGCTCACCATCATGGCCGTGGAGCCCGTCAGCCTCCTGTACTCCAAGCCATCCAAGCCTACACAGGCACATGGAAAACTACTGCCCCTTAACATCCCTAGCAGACAAGAGAACCCGAGCCCTGAGGCTGCTGGCCCCACCCCTGAAGCAGCTGCTGGCCCCTCTGCTGAGGGAGACCTCGAAGTGGATTTTGAAAAGATCTACAAGTACCTGTCATCCATCTCCCACAGCTGCCATGGCCCTGAGCTTTCCCCAGCTGGTGAGAAGAAAGGGGGGGGGGCTATGGTGGTGGGGTCCAGGCAGCAAGTCCTGACCTCCTCTTACCCTTCCCCTCGCCATCCACCACCAGAGTCAGCTGTGGTCCTTGACCTGCTCATGTCACTTCCTGAGGAGCTGTCTCACCTGCCCTGTGCAGCCCTGGTTGAGCATATGATGGATACATACCTACATCTGATGACCCCCCAGTCTGACCCCAGCGGTGGGAACCTGGGACCAGGAGCTGAGGTTTGTGGGACTGGCTCTAGGGGGCAAGAGGAGTCCAGTCAGGCCACCCCCCAGGCCCCTGAGAATGCCAGGCCTAGCAAACCGAGATCTGCCTGGCAAGTAGTTGGCGTTTGCCCCCTGAACCCATTTCTGGTGCCCCTGGAGCTTCTGGGCCAGGTAGCTACCCCTGCAAAGTGAGGGTCCCAGCAGACAGAGCACACACCAGACATCTGTGAGCTCCTGGCCTTCAGTTCTGCTTGGGCTGGCACTGGGTATTCATGAGGATCTGGTCCTGGTGGAAAGTCCCTCACTCAGTGTGCAGTGCCAAGTGGCCTTTAGGACATTCCAAACAGCAGGGGTTTCAGAAATGGAAGCCCATTTGTACAGGAGTTCAGCCACAGATCTTAAGTGGGGGCAGCCAGATGGCTGGGATAAAACCATCAAATACTGCCTCTCCTCCTCTCCTGCATTCTTTTGCTTATACCCTATAACTGAATAAAGTTGTCAATCTGTCTCTTTTTTTAAAGTTGATTTTAGATAGGGAGAGAAACATCGATTTGTTGTTCTACTTATTTATGCATTCATTGGTTGATTCTTGTATGTTCTCTGACTGGGGATCGAACCCGCAATCTTGGCATATTGGGATGACACTCTAATCAACTGAGCTACTCAGCAAGGGTTGTCACACTCTTTTTTCTGTGACTTAAAGGTAGCAGAGCCCTGGCTGGTGTTCTCAGTGGTTAGAGTGTTGACCCATGCATCTAAGAGTCATGGGTTTGATTTCTGGTCAAGAGTGCATACCTGGGTTGCAGGTTCGATCCCAGGCCCTGGTTGGGGCACGTGCAGGAGGCAACCAATTAATGTCTCTTTCCCTTTCTCCCTTCCACTCTCTCTAAAAGTCAATAGATAAAATATCCTCGGGTGAGAATTAATAGCAACAAAAAAAGTGGCAGTGGTGGCTCAGAGTACAGAGGGAGATGTTGGAGGTAGGAGAGAGCTTAGGGTCCTGGGGACCGAGGGGCATGCCAAGGAGGAGGGTGCAATCACCAAACGCTACCACTGCCAGGCTTGCTCCAAAGCTGCTTGGAGTGACCTCAGTTTGACTGAGGGGACCCATGGTGATTATATAGAAGGTCAAGACAAGCCTTAGCTTGACAGGTGTCGGGAAGTTTTTCTGAGCAGGGTGACCTTATATCATACAGATGGAAGGGGGGAGGGCACCAGCAGAGTGAGGTGAGGGTGTGTTGGGCAAAATGAATCTTTGTACTTAACCCAAACAGTCACCAGGACCACCAGTTCACCCCAGAAGGGGTGGGCCCATATCACCGGAAAGGAATGTTCTTGCATCACAAGTGGGTCTGTTGCCACTTGGCTGTCTATATCACACTTCCCTCCCCTGCTGGTGTGAGCCACTTCTGTCCGTAAGTTCCCTTATAAACTCTTTAAAAAAATATATATTGATTTCAGAGAGGAAGGGAGGAGAGATAGAAACATCATAAGCATAACCAATGGACAGAGACACCAGGGGGGTGAGGGCATAAACGGGAGTGGGGTGGGGGGCAATGGGGGGATAAGGACACATATGTAATACCTTAAATCAATAAAAAATATAATAATTGCTGGGCCTCGGCCGGGCCGGTGTGGCTCAGTGGTTGAGCATTGACCCAGGAACCCAGAAGTCACCTGTTCGATTTCCTCATCAGGGCACATGCCCGGGTTGTGGGCTTGATCCCCAGTAGGGGGTGTGCAGGAGGTAGCTGATCCATGATGTTTCTCTCTCATCGACGTTTCTATATCTCTATCCCTCTCCCTCTAAATCAATAAAAATATTAAAACAAACACATCAATGATGAGAATCATTGATCAGCTGCCTCCTGCACACCCACTACTGGGGATGAAGCCTGCAACCAGGCATGTGCCTTTGACCGGAATCCTTCAGTCCACATGCCAACGCTGAGTCCACTGAGCCAAACCAGCTAGGGCCCTTAGTAAACTTGATGTTGCCCAAGGCCGAGGGACCCCAGGGTTAGGGGTGTGCTGTCCCATGTTGCAGGTTAGAGAGAGGGTCTTCTGAGCTAGCCTTGGGGAAGCAAAGGGAGGAGGAGCAGAGCTGGGGAGAGTAGGGAGCTGGAGTCCCACCTGTTGTCAAAGGCCCCAAATTCCTGGAGGTGCTTTTGGGTTTCCTTGCAAGGGGGTCTCCCCTCTACAGCCTCCAAGGGTGTGGGTTCAGGGGAGGGCAGGACAGGAACCAGTGTCCTTCCATGGAATGGCATTCCCCCAGGCTTAACTAGTCCTCTGAGAGCCCCAAATTTTCTGTTCCAAGAGTCTGTGCATTCACTCAGCCTTCCTTTTATAGAAACCCTCACTTCTCCCCACACACATTGCACACGGCTCTCCTGGGACACACAGCACATTTCCTAGGTGGGTTGTGGAGTCAGCCCACTCTATGACTGGGACCCCCCTTCCCCCGCCACACACACACCAGACCCACGGGTTCCCAAGGCACATGATGATGATCGGAAGGAGGGACCAATGTCAGAGGGGTTTGGAGCTGAAGATGTAATCATCGCAGCAGGAGGCCATGCCAGTTCTTTAGGGCTGGCTGAGGGCACCCCACCCCCACTGCACTCAGCTAAGTCCATTCCCCAGAGTCTCCCTAAGTCAAGGGAAAGAGGAGGGTGTCTTGGCTGTGCCTGGAGCCAGGGGTATTGAGGTGGTAACACACCAGTCCCCCAAAGTATGGGTCTAAATGTCTTTGCAGCACTGGGCAGGAGTGCTAACTCAGCTTTCTGTTTGGCTCAAGTAAGCACTCAACAATAGCTTTTATTATCACCATCTACTCAGAAACAGGAAGAGTAAGAAGGCATGAGGAGGGCATGGGTAAGGGGGCAGGGAGATGATGTGGGGCATGGCAGGAGGGATCAGGGGTAGGTGTCAGTATTGCCAGTGACTGGCATACGGAGGTGGTGACCGAGGGAGGGGTGTGCAGATTACTAACAGGCCTGGGCGGGGGGTGGAAGTGAGTCTGCTGGGCTTTGCCCCCACGGATGATGAGAATCATTGATCAGCTGCCTCCTGCACACCCACTACTGGGGATGAAGCCTGCAACCAGGCATGTGCCTTTGACCGGAATCCTTCAGTCCACACACCAGGATCCTTCAGTCCACATGCCAACGCTGAGTCCACTGAGCCAAACCAGCTAGGGCCCTTAGTAAACTTGATGTTGCCCAAGGCCGAGGGACCCCAGGGTTAGGGGTGTGCTGTCCCATGTTGCAGGTTAGAGAGAGGGTCTTCTGAGCTAGCCTTGGGGAAGCAAAGGGAGGAGGAGCAGAGCTGGGGAGAGTAGGGAGCTGGAGTCCCACCTGTTGTCAAAGGCCCCAAATTCCTGGAGGTGCTTTTGGGTTTCCTTGCAAGGGGGTCTCCCCTCTACAGCCTCCAAGGGTGTGGGTTCAGGGGAGGGCAGGACAGGAACCAGTGTCCTTCCATGGAATGGCATTCCCCCAGGCTTAACTAGTCCTCTGAGAGCCCCAAATTTTCTGTTCCAAGAGTCTGTGCATTCACTCAGCCTTCCTTTTATAGAAACCCTCACTTCTCCCCACACACATTGCACACGGCTCTCCTGGGACACACAGCACATTTCCTAGGTGGGTTGTGGAGTCAGCCCACTCTATGACTGGGACCCCCCTTCCCCCGCCACACACACACCAGACCCACGGGTTCCCAAGGCACATGATGATGATCGGAAGGAGGGACCAATGTCAGAGGGGTTTGGAGCTGAAGATGTAATCATCGCAGCAGGAGGCCATGCCAGTTCTTTAGGGCTGGCTGAGGGCACCCCACCCCCACTGCACTCAGCTAAGTCCATTCCCCAGAGTCTCCCTAAGTCAAGGGAAAGAGGAGGGTGTCTTGGCTGTGCCTGGAGCCAGGGGTATTGAGGTGGTAACACACCAGTCCCCCAAAGTATGGGTCTAAATGTCTTTGCAGCACTGGGCAGGAGTGCTAACTCAGCTTTCTGTTTGGCTCAAGTAAGCACTCAACAATAGCTTTTATTATCACCATCTACTCAGAAACAGGAAGAGTAAGAAGGCATGAGGAGGGCATGGGTAAGGGGGCAGGGAGATGATGTGGGGCATGGCAGGAGGGATCAGGGGTAGGTGTCAGTATTGCCAGTGACTGGCATACGGAGGTGGTGACCGAGGGAGGGGTGTGCAGATTACTAACAGGCCTGGGCGGGGGGTGGAAGTGAGTCTGCTGGGCTTTGCCCCCACGGAAGGTGCCAAACATCCTGGACACAGCAGCCATTGTTGCTCTTCAGGCTCGGTCTCAGGGCAGGCAGCACTGGGCATATTCTACCCCAAGGAGGGGTTCAACACGGGGGAGGGGCGGGGGATGGAGTAGTGGGATGGCCAGAGGACATGGGAGGGGGGAGACAGAGGGGTCCCCGCATCCAGGAACGCACATACCATTTATGCTGGAGGCTGGACAACAGCAGAGCCACCTACACGCTAGGGGGGTGGGGGGTGGGTGTCAGTGAGTTTTGGGGCGAGGACAGGGAGGGATAAAGGCACCAAGTGGGGCTCGGGCTTGTCCGGGAGGGATGATGGGAGAGGCCTGCGAGTATGGAAGGTGTCTGGGCAGGGAGGGGCTGGACTTCTCATGCACTCCTCCTTTGGCTGGGCTCTGGGGTGGGATCCCGAGCGCGGTCAGGCCGACAAAGGGCCACCCAAGGGTGCCGTGGCTCAGACCAGCGCGTAGTCGAATTGGCCACGCTCGAGCGCCTCCTTGTGGTCGGTCCAGGACGAGGCGGGCATGCGGCTGTAGGGGTCGAGTAGGATGCGCACGCAGCGCACCATCAGCAGCACCAGTACCACGAGCAGGCAGAGCACGAAGGCGAACACTGTG